ATTTCAAAAAATTCAAGTAATTCTAAGATATTATAAATAATTATTAATTAGATAGTTTAATGAAAATAAAATATAATATCTAAAACAATATATTTTTTAAAAATATCATTAAATAAATATTAAAAATTATTTTTATATTGATGCTCTACTTATATAGTTAATTTTTACATACAAAATAGAATAAAAATAAATGCATAGATGAAAAAATTTAAAATTTAAAAACAAATTTTATATAAATTCTTTTTTATGTTAATTAAATCTTACAAAGCCAATTCAATATATATAAATATATATATATATATATATATATATATATATAATCTAATATATTTTACACCAAGTGAAATTTTATCACAAAGTGATACAAGTAATAGATGTCATTATTTTTCAATAAATAAGATTAATTATAAGATCTAGAATAGAGAAATTTTTAGTACAACAGATTTGTTTCAAGAATGGTATTACCACCTACAAAGTGCTTGTAATCTTATTTTTTTTAATGCCAATTACAAGAATTTTAAGTGTTTTATGCAAAAATATATCTTAAATTGTTGTTAAGCTTTATTGAAGCATGTCTTTATCAAACTTTGTGTATAATTTTATCTATTGTCTTAGAAAATAATATGGCTAGTGAAATTTCTTATTTAAACATTTTTATCTTGCTTTTTGATGTAGTTCATTTAAATCTATTTTTTCTAATTATAAATATTATCTATAATCTAAAACTTATAATTTTATAAAAATTAAAAATATAATGAAAAATATTTAATACAAATAATAGTTGAGCATCATATAATAATAAAGATTCAACAAAAGAAAGATAAAAAATAATAAATAAATAAATAAATAAAATAAAATAAAATAAAAAACAAAACAAAACACACACTCACAACATTGATTTAAAGTTGGTGTTAAGATATGATTACTTTGTTATTATACTCAATCATGTAATAAGTTTAATTTTTATAAAATTAGATTATTTTTATTTAAAAATAGATTGATATATTTTTATGCTGATTACAATTACTTTAATAATAATAATAAAAAAAAAAAAAAAAAAAACTTATCTAATATTCTATGTTTCTATAATCAAGCTTTATACAATAATAAATATATTATGAAGAAAGAAATTACTACCAACTCATGTTAAAATAGATAATAACCAAAAATTTGAAGTGGAAGAAGACTTAGATTTAAGGCATCATCAAAATAAATTAGAATACCTTATGCATTAGCATTGATATATTATTAGTGAATGAATATGGGATCCATTGGATAAGTTTACAAATGCTTCAATTTTTTTTTTTATTGATAATATCTATCAAAATTAATGACTCACCATTGATAATAAGATGGTATTAATTAAGGAAAAATAAGTTCAAGAATGAACTTATAAAATTATTTTGCAACATAGATTACTAATATTAAACAAATTCATCTTAAGAATTGTCATTTTTAAAATTATCTAATAATACATTTTAAAATTTTGAACTTAAATGACGTCAATATTATAATAGACATCATAAAGAGAGATTATTTTTAAAAAAAAATTATTAAAAAATATAGTATATATATTAGCACAATCTTAAAAAATACTTTAATGCTTGATGATACTATTGGAGGCAGATACTATACTTGATGGAATGCAAACTATATTATTTAAAAGTAATTATGAAAGTCTCAATAATTATTAAATAATTAGGTGGTATTTTTGTCTTACTACAAAACATTATTAATGTTTAGAGTGACATATCAACCATCTTTGTGCAAAACGTAGGTCAAAATTTTTTATTATCATAATCTAACAAATCTTAAATTTCATCAACTTATAAAGAAATTTTATTGTTTATTATGGAATTCATTCACAAACAATGTAATAGATACTTCTAATGTAATATATACAAGTAATGTATTTGAAACTTATAATATAAAAAATATAAATAATATAATAGATGGCTATTTTATTATATTAAATTAAAAAAAATAGAAATAAGTAGAAGTACATAAAAATATATTTGTTACATAATATTTTTTATAAAATAATTTGAAGAAGATTCCTAGACATAAATTAGATGTTTAAAAATTATAGATATACTACTTAGCTATTAAAACTTATTCTAAAAGTTTGATACTTTTTAGAAGTTTCATTGAGAGTAACTTACAAAATATTGTTTAAGAAACAAGCCTTGTGGCCTCAAAGAAGTTTTTGTAATATCTTCTTAGTAGCTAGTATATATAAAGACAAAACTAAGACCATCTTCAATATTGACAATATCTTTTTTATGTTTTAATCTTAATTCAAAACTCTCCTATTTCTTTATAAGTGGAAGTAGTCATTCTAGTAATTTTTCTATGGTAGAATAATCTATATTTTGATAGCTTACATTGTTTCAATGACAAAAGAGAGTATTGTCTTTTCAAAATTTTGTCTAATTCATGTCATTGACAACTTATTCAAATAATATTTAAACAACATTAAGAACTTTTCAACTAAGACTTCATCTTTCAACCACATTTTTGGCATCTATTTAGAGATCTCTTATTTTAGCAATGCTAGATATTCTAAATATAAGAACAATTAAAAGCTTTAATATCACTTTGTCAATTCTATACTAATAATTGAAACTTTGATATAGTTAAATTAGTTGTACTTAAGAAGACTAATAAGAGACAAAACCTAATTACACAAATCAATGCTACAAATACAAGATTTATATTTGATTGTACAAAGTTGAGTTGGCAAGAACAATATACTTCACTAGAAAATAAGACACTTATAATAAAAATGTACTTATCATTAAAACAATTGAGATAATGATTAGGTCTATGATTTTTTATATATAGTTTATTATAGAATGGTGGTAAGTGAAAAAAAAAGGTTAAGTTATAAGTTATAGCAAGGCCTTAAGAGTAAGAATAATTGCATTTGTGCAATAGTTAAGCAAATAGACCTTAACATCTTCATTGCTTAAGTATTTAGAATTGGCTACCTTAAAATATTAAGATTGTTTGACAATTTTGCAAAAACTTTTTTTTTTTGTATCTTTACTATATAGAGTTAGTTATCTACTCATTGGCTATAAAACTAAAAGCTCTTAAAAATTGAATAAAAAAGCTTTCAATATGCATTAAGTTAGACTACTAATAAAAAAAATTACTACTATTGTACCACAAATTACACTACAATATACATCAAAGCAAATATTATTAATAATGTCTTTTATAAAGTATCACTCATTAAATATATATTATTAATTATAATCATTAATAATCACTTAAAATTCTATCTATTTTATTATTTTTTATAAATTTATATTTTTATAGTTTAAAAAAATTAGATTATATCTCAAAAAAATTATTTTTATACATACTTTGGTAATCCATGTAATTTGTGTAGATTTTATGTCTAAAGATTTTAAATTTTTTATATCAATTGTCAAGATCATAATTAATTATATTTAATTATATTTTAAATATATGTAGGATATATATATATATATATATATATATATATATATTTATATTTACGTAGGATAATGCTACCACAATTTTTGCTATTGCCACTAGAACTTATTCTTATTAAAATAAACTACTGAATTAACAAAAAGGATGAATGTTTTTATCCATAGTTTTATATTTTATATTTTATATTTTTTTGATTATTATAACAATATGCCAAAAAGAGTTGTAGGACATTTTTATTATTCCAAAAATTTAAAATTAGAACTAAACAAACAGTCATTATATAATTTCAGATCATAGCAAGGACTAATACAAAACTTACTAAAATGTGTCCATTAAAATAGGGAGTTTTGATTTTGAGTTTTGAATGTTTAGTTAAAATAAAAATAATGTGTGTTTCCATGTGTTCATCTCTCCTTGCATTCATCTGTATTATATTGTTGTTTATTACACCTCAATGACTGGCTTTAACATGATGTTCATGTAACCAAACTAAATGACCCGATACTAGTTTTTGACAATGTTTACGTATTAGTTTAATTGTTCCAAATAAATTTTTGATTTTTTGCATTATGTTATTTCATCACTTTGAAGATGCTATCAATAAAAAGCTGTATTTTTGTGATCCTCTAGAATTCTATTCAATACCATTTATTGTAATATCATGTTTATATTTGAACTTCTACATGTAAACCCTTCCATACATTTTACTGCATAATGTTTTTTCAGTATCATTTCAAAATTTCTAATCCAAGATGTCAAAATAATAATAATAATAATAATAATGGTAACAATTATATTTATTGAAATACTTAACAAAATAACATGCCCATCAATTGTTTTCCAAGTTTCCATGTATGAGAGGCTAAATAATTTCGCCTTTTTAATATTTTAAAATGGTTTCGTTACAAGTCATTATAATGAGTGGGACCCATCATATCCAAATCTGAAAGTTACTTCATGCTAGTTGATTAATGATAAGGACTTACTAAAGAAGTGTGATATAATCTAGGTTTGTATCTCAAATTAATGACTAAACTAAGTAAATTACACCCAACAACCACATTGACTTACCTCCCTCTCCAACGAATGATATTTTCTTTTTTTTCATCACAAAGTCGTCGAAAAGTCAAATTAGGGTTCATATTGCCAGCGAAAGTAAGTTCCTCGTCGAGACTTTCAACGAAACCCTAATGGAGGAGGGTATTCGTTCCAACCACACAAGTCCCCATCTCAGCTTCACAGCATCTCTGCAATGAAGAAGTACCGACGAGAATCGGGGGCCGGTACTAATCTGCGTCAACTAATAATAGACGGAACGGAGGGCATGTCCACCCAAAGCGTCCTCGTCCAAGAGGCTCCATGGATCTAGAAATATCCAGAGGATGAAGAAGATGCGGAAAAATCTGTGTCAGCAAAAGAAGCGGAACGAAGATTAGCCAATGTCGGGTGCGCATGCCAGTCGGCAGTGAGAAGTGCGAATACTGACATTTTGAGCCCCTTCGCTTTCGTGTGAACGCGGAAATGGTATCCTGCATACAGACCATATTCGTTCTCTTATCGGGGAATTAGGGTTTATGAGCTTCCATTGCCAGCTCTCCTTCTCCGCTTCGTCTTGTTCCTCGCATGCTTGGCTAGGTTCACTCACCTTGTGGTGATGTTCGTAGCGTAGAGGGATCAAAGCAGGGTTGTGAAAAGTTGCAGCTGTGTGTAGATGGCGTCGAATATGGAGCTTTGAGGTTCCTATTTCGTTGCAGTGTGGCGGCTGGGGTGTTTCATCGGAGGCGGATAGGGGGTGCGGCGGCTGAAGTGTGGCGTGGCGTCTAGATGTCGGGAGCAATGGCGCTGGAGGGAGCTCACGCTGACGAGGGGTATGCTAACATCGGCGGACCTAAGGATGGGCCCGTATTGACGATGATGAGCAAGAGGTTGCGCGCGTTGAAAAAGAAGTATAACAGGATCTTGCAGATAGAGGAGAACAAGAGGCAGGGGAAGACCGTGAACAAGGAGCAGGAGGATGTGCTTAAGACGAAAATAGCCATCGCAGCCTTGATTGATGAGTACGAGAAATTGCGGCAACCATTGATCAGTGCGGTCAAGGAGGAGGTGGCGGAGCGGGAGAAAGAGCTTTTGGCTGCTACGTTGGAGCGGAAGCAGGAGGAGGAGAGTGTGTGCGAAGGTGAGCACGAGTCTGCGGCTGCGGGCAATGTGGATTCTGAACCTCGCACGGAGGCCGGGAACTGTGTGGGTGAGGAGGCGGAAAAGCCCGTGGAGGCTCATGGGAGTGGAAGCGGGATTGGCACTTCTGACGAAGCCCACGAAGCTCACCCTTCTGCTACTCAGAGTCAGGATGTTACTGACAGCGAAAAGGAGAAGCTTACAGAGGTGGAGAAGGAGAGCTTCGTGAGGGTGAGTGAAAGTGTCGTCCCTGAGAATGTGTTCTCAGAGGGGGACGTTTCAGACCTGTTGAAGCTTCTGTATTTTTCACATCTGTTTGATGTGAGATCGCAAGGTGAGGCGCCTTCTCTGATGTGGACAAGGGTACATGAAAGGAGCTCTTGCCTATCGTACGATTTTGTTACGGATGACTCAACCACGCCCCTGATTGAAGCTGATCTAGACGCCTTATCATTGTTTGGATCGATGTTGACCTCTCGGCCTCCGAATGAAACATTGTCGCATCGGGATGCCCTGCAACGCTGCATTGAGCATGCTAGACAATGGCTGCGGAACTCGGATCTCGCCATTCAACTGGACAGCCACACCTCTTGTATCCTTTCCAAATGCTCATTTTGATCTCGGTCCTTTTATACTCTAGCTTTCGGGGAGTGTAGTAATGCAGTTCCCTGCCACAATGTGGTTTCGCAATTTTCTATGCAGGGTTCCTTGACTGTTCATCGCAGACTCACGACTGAGAGAAAGGTTGAACAGAATTCTTTCATCTGAATATTTTACGATGACACCTGAGCTGCAAACTGTGAGTCAGCAAACGGCTGCTGCCGCCGCTAGCGCTGCGGGTCAGTATCTTCCCACTAAGGATGTGGATCACATCGTACCTCCCGCGTACTATGTTCCCCAGGTACGTGTTTGTCTCAGGATATAAGACGTCATGGTGATTGATCATGCTCAATCATGACTGAATACGCCTTTTCCCCCTCTTGCCGACTTTTTATTCCCATATGATATCTTATTTTCTCAGCTTAAATGGTAGTATTGTCTCCCGACTAGGGTTGGAGTAAAGAGTGATGTATGTGAGATATTTACAGAACCCTTATTTTCACCTTAATTTTGAGAATGATGGGGAACTGCGCAGGAGCCACAGGCACCTGTGCCACAAATCTATGAGTTCGGAGTATCAGCAACCAATGGAGTTCCACCTACTTCAACTCCTCTGATTTTTATGACTGATAACACAGTGCCAGCTTTTGACATGCCGCAGGTAGGTTGCTCCGTCCAAGAAGTGAATTTTTTTGTCCTAGGATATCATATTCCAATTCTGCTACACTCTAAACAGAGGGTTTTCTGTCCTGTGAATGCTTTCTAAACGTGTGCTAGTTAAATGGTCACTCGTGTGAAGTAATCTGGTCATGTGGGTTGGCCAGTTTGGAAGTCATGGAATTCATGAGGAATCTAACGTTGGAGGTCAAGAAGAGACTCAAGAGATTCAAGCTTCGGAGCCGGAAACCGAGGAGGTCGCAGGAGGCGATGCCCAACCCCAGCACCCAGCACCGCCTCATCATCATCACTACCCTCACCATCAGCAGGGTCCACCACAAGCTGGTGGCAGAAGCGGCGTGCCATACCATCAACAGGGTGGGGGGGGTCCTCAAAGGGGAGGACGAGGTATGCCAGGTGGTTACCAAGGAATGGGTGGTCGGAATGGCGGCCGAGGATACATGAATAATGGGCGTGGTGGTAGAGGACGAGGCGGCATGTATCCCAATGGCGGACGTGGTCAGTTTTATGACCAGCAGCCTGGAGGTTTTCATCCTAGACCTAACGGTCACTACGGTGGTAGAGGTGGACGTGGAGGCAGGGGCGGTATGATGTACAATGGACAACAACCCAATGGTGCTGCCCCTTCTTCTGCAGTGGCTCCAAGCCCTGCCTAAACGTTGAAATAGATTTGTGTGGCTCGGTTCATTCCAGTCATCGAGGTTTTTAGAAATCGGTAGAATTCACAAAATGTTCACATTGCGACGTTGATGGTGACCCTCGTCTTTCTAGTGCTGCTAATTTCTGGAGTATGAACCGTGACACAAGTGAGAGATAATGATCAGGAATGATCTACAGATAGCATTAACCCTTATATGGATGATTTGCTGATGATTTTACGCCGTTTGCCGTTGAGGTAGATTAGCTTTTATTGAAGCTTAAAGAGGTTGATGGCTATTTTTTCGGAGGGGATTTTCCAAGGTTGTGCGAGTTAAGGATCTTTGAGAGTGGATGCTAATCTGCGATACACTAATCCGTTCTTGATGGTGGTGCTCTTTTGTCTTCATTTTTGCAACGTTATTGGAATGTTGCACTAATAAGGAACTGGAATGATGTGTAAATTACCTGAGCCGTATCTTAGATATCATGGCCTAAATTCTGGTCATTTTAACTGTGTTCGGCAGCAATCAGCATCTGCTTTTACGTATTTTTCTGCTGCTCAAGCCAATGAACATAAGTAGATTCTTAGTCTTGTTACTCGTGAATATCGTATTGGAATTGGTGCTGTTCTTTTCATTATATTGGGAATGGGTTGATTTCTCAGATACTTCATATCTCAATATCTCATGTGCTTCATATCTCAATATCTCATGTGCTTCATATCTCAATACTTGGCTGAGATGCGTATTTATTTCGACTTTCGACCGTAGACTTCGTGTTTACGTTCACCACACGGACAATAATATCCTTGAGATACCGATTTTTGGTTACCACCGTTCAACTCGGCTTCATTAGGGTAGGTGAAAAAAAAAAACTTAACTGCTCCAGAGATTACCCCAGCACCGAGGAAGCCGTGGATGTTTTTAACATATTCTCCTAAATAATCCTTGGTGAATATATCTGTCACATCCTATGTAGTTATCAAGTGCGCGCAATGGATGCAGGTTGTAATCATGAATGACTCTTCTTCTCGTCACCAGCTGCCGTTGCTCATAAACACGTTGGTAACTCCCTCGTTATCGTCTCCGCTTCCAAAAATTCTTCGTCTCTACCACACTTACATCTCTGCACACCTCCAAACACGGGTTCGTCACAATGCTTTTACACGAAAACGTTAGTCCTGTTGCGGCTGTTGACTCCTGAATGACATTGGAATTTTTTCACGCTTCGAGGTGAAATCTTTGACACTCTGAATGCCACGTATCTTTGCACTGGCACATCATTTCCTACAGAAGGGCTCAGCTCCCAGACATGCACGTTTCAGCTCTAAGGCTACAAAATAGTTTTCGGCTAGCTGAAAGTTGCCGTCTTGAAACCTAGATCCTTTATCATCCTCGCAGCATTTGACGCTTGAGCACAATGTTGACCAATAGGGTAAACAGCAATTGATACAGCAAGTCCGGCACTTCGGTAGTTCCTAAGAGGGAGGCATAAGCATCATGAAAGAAGTGAGATTAAATTCGTTAACTTGACGTCACCTTAAACACTGGGATTAGAGCGGCCACATGTCAACTCTTAAAGTTTATTCATAACATCCTTCCTTCGTTATTTGAGTGTGACGCAAGTTCTCGCAACTGTGCTGTGGCTTGCCTGCACTGAAACCTAGATTTCGTAGTTTGTGTACCATGGAGCAGTGATTGACTATTCGAGGGGATTCTCCGGGCATCCACCGCAGTAGCGGAGCTGAAACAGGGGTTCGAGTTGTTTTTAATGTAGGTTTTTGAGTGCTTTCAAAGTGTTAGGAAAACACAGTCGGATCAGCAGGGCTTCTTGCTCGGAGTAAGTATCTTAGCTTCCACCCTCGCTTCTCTCATCCTCTTCTTCTGCTACATTTTAGGGTTTCTGAGGTTCGGGTTGGCTTGATGGAGTTGATCTGTAGAGGAAATGTTTTTGAGGGTTAAATTGCTCATTTACTGGTTTTCGTTCGCAGGAGTTGAGTCGTTTACAGAATTTAATTCAAGCGGCATTTTATTTTTGATTTTGCTCTTGAAATTTTGATAGCGTGTGTGATTTTTTCTCAACTAATGTGTAATCCAATTTTCTTTTATAAATTCAAATGCTAGGTCTACTGCTGATTTCCTTGAGCAGGCGTATCAGTTTATCCATTTGAACGAGGGTTTTGTTTCTGGCATCATCATTTGGCATTATCTTGGGTGGTGCTGCTGTTGTTCAATGTTGCCTGTTTGAGAGGTTTAGCACGATTAAATTGCTGATTCTTGCGGTCGTGGTGCACCATTTGAAGCAATGGGTTCAGCTATGAATTTCCAGGTGGTAGTGCTCGCCGGGGGGGTTTCCAAAAAGCTCCATCCGCTGGTATCGAAAGATGTTCCCAAGGCGTTGCTACCGCTGGGCAACAAGCCTGTGCTGTCGTATGTACTGGAGCTCTTGGAGACTAGCAGTTTGAAGGAAATTATCCTTGTGGTCGCTGGAGAAGACGCTGCGCTGTGTGTTAGTAATTGGGTGGCGGAGACCGTCCACGATCGTCTTCGTGTTGAGGTGTGATTATATACCCCTTTTTCCTATTGTTTTCCTTATGTCCTTAACTTCATCTAATGGGTTGCGTCGCATTGCTCGTTTGCTTCGCGCTTTTGAAGCTAGCAAATTGAGAACAGTTACATCCTGTGTTTGAACCCATCTTTTTCTTCACCTCTTTCTCTGTAAGGGGAACGTTTATGATGTTGCAATTAATTTTGTAACCCTAATGTCCGTTACTGAGTCCTTCAAACATTTTACTCAGGTGATTGCTGCTCCGGAGGATTCCGACACTGCTGACGCCTTAAGGTCTGTCATGCACCGCTTGACGGCAGAGGACTTCCTGGTGGTGAGCGGGGATCTTGTCTCGGATGTGCCTATTGGGGCTGTGGCAGCTACACATCGACGACAGGGAGCTTTAATCACAGCGTTGCTGTGTAACCGTGCGTTGCTTGGTTCATCTGAACCTGGTAGTGAGAAGATTAAGCTGCAGCCTGTGTCGGATATTATTGGTTTGGACTCGACGCAACAGCATCTTCTGTATGTAGCTCCAGGCGCGGAGGTTAGTGTGAAAACATCCTGTGTATTCTCTCGCTCTCTCATTCTCTAGCGACTGTTTTGCTCCGGTAATCTTTTCTACCCCCGTACTGCTTCTGCTTGCAAGTCTACGAAGCGATGCAATTGTTAAGGAGGTGTAGAGGACTAATGTGAAAATTGTCATATTTTATATGTCAGAAGAATTATTTTCTCGATGAACCAAGTGTTTTTCATCAAAAGTATGGACTTGGAATAGTACTGGCACTACACTTTTAGGATTAAGTTAGTTTCGTCTCTCTCTGTCGAATAGTCTATACGTGTACATGAGAGACATGGGGCTTTCTGTTTGAGGCAGTGCCATCTTATCGTCTCGTAAGGCTTATCTCTATTTTTTTTATGATTTGTTGTCGTAAAATCGTGACATATCACTTTTAGAACTGATTATTAACCCTTCAATATAGATTGAGCGGGATTTGCGAGTGCGACGCAGCCTACTTCGGGCTGTTGGAAACATGGAAATTCGAACAGATCTTGTGGACGCCCATCTATATGCCTTCAACAGGTTATTGGTTCAGGGTGTTCTGGAGTCTAGACCAACTATAAAGAGCATCAAGCAAGATTTGGTTCCTTACCTGGTAAGAACTCAACTGCGTTTAGGAGTCCCTTCGACAACGGTGGGATCTCCTGCAGAGGATAAGGACAATCAACATCCGCCTTCACTTCCAGACACGGAAGTTTTTGCTCAGTTGCTTCGGTCTTCCCAATGTCAGCATCGTGCTACAGCTTCTTCATCGCCGCTAAAGTGCTGTACTTATATTGCAAGCAAAGGCAAATTCTGCGTGCGGGTTAATTCTTTGCAGGTACGTCTTGAATGTAACCCTGTGGCATGTAGGAACACTAGATCAAGGTTAACCGATTTTGATAATTAGTTCTTTGATACGTTCATGAATGCATTTGTTTTGTAGGCAATACTAAGGGCTGTCGATATCTCTCAAAGTTAAGTGAGGTTGCTTCTAACCCCTACTTGATTGGTGTCAGGCATACCTCGATATGAACAGAGAGATTGCAGGAGAAGCAATCCATCTGACAGGCTATGAAGTTTCTTCCCACAATAATGTCATTCATGAAACGTCACAATTGGGTTGGAAGTCTACTGTGGGCCCTCAGTGTATGCTAGGAGAAGGCTCCACCCTTGGTGAGAGGTGCAGTGTGAAGAGGTCAGTCGTTGGCAGGCACTGTCGCATCGGTTCAAACGTGAAAATCATGAACTCGGTGGTAATGGATTACGTGACTGTTGAGGATGGATGTACCATCCAGAACTCTATCATCTGCAGTAATGCGAATTTGCAGGAGCGGTGTTGTTTGAAGGATTGTCAGGTGCTTATCTTTTCTTTCTCTTTTTCCTGCTATCTATATCTGTGAAAACCTATCTAGAAACAGGTCTTTGGAGGTTGAAATGACATTTTTTTCTGTATTTAGAGAAATGCACCTATATGATTGGGAAGGTAAAAGTTGCTAGTTGGGTTGTCTTTGTGAATGATCAACTACGACATAAGAAATTTGAAGATGTATGATAAACGATGTGGCTGTGAATATGGCATTACTTGTTGCAAATTGATTTTACCTCAACTATAATTGTGGGACTGCTCTTGATATGGCAACCCAAGAGCTTGTCCAAGAAACGCACCACGTTTTATTAAAATATGTTTTGCCTTTTACACTATTGTCTTAAGACATGTCCCTTTCTCAAAATACTTTTTCTTGGGTAATAAACTCTTAGACTTGTCCTACAGCTTGGTGTATGACCCACCCTCAGTCCGCTATTGATCTGAATATCTCAAGGTTTGGTCTGCTGTTGATGTGAATATCTACGTATTTGTCATTGATATTGTAGTGGATGGCATTTGTACTCATAATAATAACGGTTGATTTTCTCTCTTAACCTTTCTCAAGATTTAAAATGGTGAGTGGGAACTAAGTCTGTCGATATACTAAGCTGTTCTCTTTGATTTTATTTATTCAGGTGGGTACCGGTTACATTGTGACTGCCCGATTAGAGCTTAAGGGTGAGGCACTAGCGAAGAAGGAGAAGCTATGAGCTCACAGTTGTGAACAAACAATTCTCAGTTGACGGCATTTTTTTTCAGTCCATGATATCAAGTGCAGGACTTGCCTTTTCCAGAGGTTCTAAGGATGTGGGCCTTCATGCTCCTTGTTCATGTTTCATGTGCAATGTAAAACGAGTCCCCTGAGTGTCAAATGTCTCTATCACCTTCGGAAGCATTGCGATCATGCATCTGGCCTTTCATTAGATGAGTGTACAGTATTTGGTACAACAGGATAGCAGGGATGCGGCCTTCTACATTTACTTAACATTCAACGTATTCATGCAGTCACTACAAGGTCTTCTTAGTCCCATGTTTTGAAGTTCGATACTTTGCTATTACTCAGTTGTGGTGTTACTGGGGTGACCTATATTAAGTACACTTGCATTGCATGAAACATCACTTTATTCTATCTCAATTTCTTGTCTGCATGCATTTTTTTGGATGATGTTACTGGTCTAGTTTTTTGTGTCTCAAGAGTGTGACTTACTAAATATAATCGGTAGGTACTATGAAAATATCCTTATGCTCTGAATATATGTTAGTGGGCATATATCATTTAAAGACGCCTTGGTTGATTTTTAATTGTATTTCTTAAGTGTTTGTAGAATCCATCAAGTTGATTAGAAAATATTTGTTAGAATTTTATAAATAGTGTGTTTGGACCTATTTTAATTTATTAATCACTTCATGTATGTATATTAGCTGAACCGGTGTCGTTGTCACGGAAACTGTTCCTAGAAAACTTAATGTCAGAGATGGAATTGATGATCTCCGTGAAAAAAGACCTATTCCCAGCTGGTTCAATGCCCATGTACTCTCTGTCTCTTTTGTGTTTCATTTAAACAAAGATATGCACGTAAATCTGTAAAAAATCTTTTTATTCAAAGACATTCTGAGTGAAATAAATTCAAGTTTCATTACTAGTATTTGTATCAATAAGAAAAGAATTATATTCCAATGCAGTTCTGTGTTAACAAATAACCAGCATGGATGATAATACGCCTGCCTACGGCTTCGAAAGGGACGACATTTCCTTACTCATGCAAACCTCGACAACATTTTTCAAGGCTTTTCATAACAGTCAAGGTGTATTTCTTCGCTCTTTCCTTGTTCTGTATTCTGGCGATGTCTCACTCATTTGTTAGCCAGTACTGGAAGTCTGTTGCGAATGCGCTTTTCAAAGTTTGCCACCGTGTGCAGAGAGCGAACAGAGTAAACGGGGGCATCGATGCAGTGGAGGACCAATTGCTGCACTACTTTGCACGCTGTTGTCGGAAATTGTGATATTGTGGGCTGTCACTTGTTGGGTGTGCCTCCTTGTCCATGAAGTTTTAAAGACACATTTGAAACTTGCCGTTAATCTTTGTTTCTGTATGCTATTGGCTCCTATTGCCTTGCCGCACATTTTTTTTTACTGCTCTGTGGATAGAGATGAAATGTGTGAGACCTTTCACTCTTCCTGATCTGTCAAACTTCTCACGTCGTACTGTGCACAGTTTTTGGTGGAAAAGATCCGAAGTGGTTGGATATATGTACAAAGTGGGAACTTGATTCTCCATCCCTGCTACCGCAGTTGCCACAGTTGCAATGCAATAACACCGAATCATGCAACTTGAGAGGAGAAGACCAGATGTTGATCACAACAGAGGCGACCACGGCGTCGAGACCTTCAGACACCAATCATTGGGACTGGGTGCATGAATGGAACCCAAACCATGTCGTGGAATTCAGCTCCTGCCAGTTCACGGCATCGACAACGAAGAGTTCAGTGCCACTGTGGACTCCACCTCCAGCGCTTCCTCGTCATGGATCAGTCATTGACAAAGGCAATGGATGGAAACTCATCATCTCTAGAAACACACAAAAACGTAATTTAACAATGCTTGTAATTCAAAATACTGTTCATATGCTTGTAATTCAGTATATGAATTCAGAATATTCAGTCGAAAAAATCAGGACCCCTGCCGTGCCGGCACTTCAGTGGTGCCGTTGTATATAACCTGTTACGACTAAAATTGTGTATGTTCAAATAGTTCGCTCACTGCTGCGTCGGCATGCCATGCACATTCCCGTTGTTCATGCCGCTGACCTCATCAATTCAAAGCACATCAATTCGAAGCAATTTGAATCAATTTAAAGCAAACACATAGACTGCATTGTTTGCCAATTTACCATTCAAATAGTGGCAGCTCACGTTGCAATTGTGTATTTCCAAATTCAAAAATATACATGCCAACAGCAATCATGAAGCGCAATTTGCAGCGGCAACTCCTTGTGGCGTTCTTGCACTACTAAATTCAGCAAGAATCAATACGTAGATAAGTATCACTCTTTGCCTGAAATTCAGCAGTTCAATCTGCACATACACTCAATCCTATCAGGCAACAATCTCAAGCTATAAACTCAGTAAAAAAGCACAATGCGATGAGCAATGCAAAACAATGCTTACAGAATTACCGTAATGACATTCTGACCGTATTTACCGTAATCCGATTGTCATTACCGATTTTGAATACTTTGATATTTAGAATACAGATCTGCCATGCGGCGATACTTAAACGTTGAAACTCAGAAAACACTTTTAATGAAAACAAATTGTTCAACACTTTTGATGAAAACAAAGACACATGCATGCAGCGAACACATTGCTGATATTATACAAAAAAGTAGTTAATTTAGTTTAAGAAATTACTTGTGAAAATATATAAAAAAATATTATATTAAAAAATATATTTATATATTCAAAGATGTACTAAAGTCAATAAATAAATAAATTCAAATATAAAATACAAAAAATAAATTATCTATATTTATCTAATTAAAACTATTGGAAAAACAATATTCAGTATGGAATTTAAATTGTCATTTCTAGGAAGAAGAATCTTGATAGAATAGGAGGAAGTACATTGAAAGAGTGCTACATAAAGTTGACCATGGACAAAAATAGATTGTTGTAGATCCAAACCAACATGCTTTACTGATTGTTCTTGAGATTTGTTTATTGTTATTGAAAAGGCAAGACAAATTAGAAATTGCTTTCTCTTTAAAATAAATAGAAGTTCTTTTGTTATAGAAGTTAATAAAATCCGTGGAATAAATAAAAAGTTTCTAGCAAATTTTCCTCCAAGAATTCCTACTTCAAGAACTTGATCCATTAGTCATATAATTACTTATTAGATTCCATTACAAAGTCCTTGGCTAGGAACAATATTTCTTAGTAGCATCAACGGAGTCTCAATCTTAAGACAAAGCCTTGATCTACGCATTCTAGATGGATTAAGTGACTTGATGAATTTGACTAGATGAACATAATTGTTGTCAATACCATCTTCAACAACAACTTCATTAGTACTTAAATATTCTTGTTCTTCTTTGGAAAATATGGCCATAATTTTCTCATTAATATCTTTTACATGATCATTGTGTACGGATAAAATGATTCTATCTCTAAAGAAGACATCATTTGCTATATTGACTTCTGCCAGCCTTGGATAAACAACATCTACTAAGGTCATTCATTTTTGATCAATAAACATGTGATCAAGAAGCTTAACTACATTATCAGGCAATAAGTTTGTATCGTTTTCAATTTGGCAAGTAAAAAAATAGAAATATTAGTCAATAATTATATAACCATAAAAAATTCAAATGGACCACCATATATTTATATATATATATATATATATATATATATATATATAATGTGTGTGTAAATTCTATACTTGAAGAAGCTAATTAGCAAACTCAATATCTACTTGAAGTGCTCCCAAATTCAATCTCATATTTTCTTTTAATATATGGATTTTTATTTGATGTCAAAGTGTTGAATGTCAAAAAGATGCTGCTACAATTTCTTCTCGAGTTCTTTTCACAATTACTCAAAATATTTGGCAAAAATCTCTACCAAAAAGTATTGTAGCTCCTTCAAATGGATAATCAATATCTTGAATATCTCTAAAAGAAAAATCAACTATCTCACAACAATAACAATATTGCATTGGAAGTTCATCCCAAATAATAAGCAAAGTTTGGCAAATAAACTCAACATGGTCAGAATTCTTAATGATTGAACAAAAAGAGACTTTGTTACAATGTAGTCAAATCTTGAAGATAGAATGGGCGGTTCTTCTTCCCTCAAGTAGCAATGTGGCAATTCTTGATGATGCAACACATATGATAATCTTTTGCATCAATCAAACTTTAGTTGCCAAAATATTATAGAAAAATATCTTACAAGTTCTTGCAGGTCCGTTTAGAAAAAACATGAGTCCATATTCTTCTATTATAGATGCCACAATATCATCATATGCCTTTCTTTGTTCAAGATTTAATTGTAGAATATATTGCTCTAAATTTATTCCTAATTGTTGAATGTCCTATGCTCTTTTTTCAACAATAAATCAATTTTCATTAACTGTTGCATTCTAATTATTTCTTAGTAATGGCATTAGAGGAAAATGTGCAAGCATTCTATCAGAGTCTTGAAAAATCTTATCTAGCAAGAAAAGTCCAAAATCCTTGATTTGTTCCTCTATTGGATTACTAATTCCATGTTTTCTTTGCAAATGGACATTGACATCATCTAAGGTGCTTTTCCAAAATCTTTCCCATAGGTTTAATGGATTTAGCAGATTTCCATGTAACAACAAAATAGCAAATAATATCCTCAATTGAAATCCAATTTGTATTTTTGATGCCTCTTCCAAACATTGTTGCCACTCTTCATCATCTTTAAGCAATCCTAAAGCTATACATGTACTTTTAAATGTTGGATAAGAGATTCCATGAATAGACTTTAAGTGCTCAAATGATTGTGGATCCTTAATGTAGATTAAAAGAAGCCTCAAATAATATCTTTCTCCCATTGCAAGATTTGCAAAACATAATCTTTCAATAGCAAATCCATATTTTCTTAATGTCTACATCCTTCTTGTCTTATGCCAAATAAAACTTTGTAGAAATTATTGATATATATATTGTCTTGCCATTGCAATTATTACACATATCTCAAAAAATAAAATTAATGTTGTCTTTTGTCTTTCAGTACATTTTAAAATTGCAGTTGCCTTGTCATTTGGATTATATACCACTTGATGTATTCCTAGAAGATAAACGGCAAAATAAACAATATTTGGCATTTCTTCATGGATCCACATGCCAAAAAGTCTCCAAGTAGCCTCCAGAGCTCCAATGTATCTTGCATCCAAATATTAATTGATCTCATCTTGTTGATTTTCAAATTGCATTGTAATGTGATTATGGCCCTTATAGGTGTATTTGTCGATATACTTGACAGTACAAATAGATGCACATACCTCAACATTAATATGATAATTATACTTCTAAGATAGTTTTGGATAAAATGGAATAATATCCATGTTATCAACAACCATTCCTCAAACTTCAAACATTCTTCTATCATTTCTTCATCAATATTGAGGATATCCATTGGCATCCATTATTGTTTCTTCTACAAATACCTTTGGATAATTCTTTATACAACGACCATCTTCCATACAAGGAGCTTGAAGATTTCATATTTTACATGGACCGTATACCATGTATTGTAGAATAACTTCAAATAGCTCTCCATCATTGTCTTTAATTAAAAACTCTGCAAAAACCATACAATCTACATCTCCAATGTATCTAATCTTGCTTTCTCTATCCAAAAAAATCAAGATGTGTATGTGAGGTAGATATCTCTTTTGAAACTCAATGGTATAAACATGTACAACAACATGACTAAAGACAAATCCTTTCTTTATATCTTCCATAATTGCACGTTTCTTGAGCTCAAATATACCCACAACCAAATTTGGCCGGTCACTTGCTTGTTATCCTTGAAGCAATTCATTCTCAATTTCTGACCATCTTGGATTTGCGATCACTATCATAAAAATATCAAGATGCTGATAAAACCTTGTAAATGCCATAGAATTTTTAAGTATTTCTATCATATGACTTGCACTTCTAATATGTGATGATAGAAGTAAGATCTTACATGCTAAATTATTTAATTCATATTATCCTTCTTCATGCACAATACTTTGATGAGTTATAACAACATCCACCAATCCTTGGTATAAATCACCATGTAGATTTCCTTGATTGTAACATAGATATCACAAATGTGTTTGCTCAATTGTTGTCTATCTTTCAACCATAAATTCTTGTAATAGCTTTCTTCCATGCAAAATCGTGGAATACTCGATAGGCCTTAAAAAAAGTCAATAAGCAAAATAATCCATTTGTGTAAGGTTGTTGCCTCTCCTATCTTCTTGTCCAATTCTTCTCTTTCTTCAATAATATACATCACTATTTTTTGTGCCCTTAGGTTAAGATGTCATCCAAGGGTTCTATGTAGAAAAGAGAGAACATAGTGAAGGGGCAAATAAGCAAGATGAGCTTCATGAATCCTTTCTAATAGTCCATTACTATGTAGGCAAATAATAATATCACGAAATGCATTATGCTCCAATCCATCTCTAGGCAATATTATAGCAATTTCTTCAAAAGAGGTAGAAAGATTATATCAGCATTTATTGCTCTCATTCATAAAGTGCAAAGAAACAATAAGATCTACTTCCACTACTCCTTCATTCTCAGCCTGAGATAGTATTTTAAGTGCCTGTCTATATCATCCTATAAACATACTATTCTCCTTCAAAACTTCTCCAATTTTCCACATAGTTTGGCTCAATAATCCACAATTACGACTCCTTTTTCTAACTTGTCCAAATGATGCATCATAGATATAGAGTTGTGCATAACTTGGATTGATTCCTTCTTCTCGTGACAATACTCTTGCTGAATGGTGCAACTCTCTATTTATTCTAAAATTGTATGGAATATTTCTTTGAAGCACAAATTGATCAACGTTTGCACCTAAGGACATAAATGCATATGCAACATTATATTGATGGATGTTTTCTCGAAACTCCTTTGTTCATACATCTTGGTTCTCAAATAAGCATTTCAAAAGTAAAGGTGGAGAAAGTAGAGATGGTAGAGAAACTTTTCCTTGACAACAATCTTGTCCAAATAATGGCAACTCCCTTGGCGACTAGACTAAATGTTCATTAAACCAATGCAATATGTTACAATGAACACACAAAACATTCATCTTCCCTAAATTATGTATGGCTTCAGCACTTATAACTATTTCACCTTCTCTTTATATTCTCACATGTTCCCTATCTTGTCGTTGAGTAATTGCTCTTTGATTCATTGTTAAAAGTGGACCATTCATAATGGCATGGGTTCTACCAAATAATTGGAGTAAGCTTGTAAGTATCAAAATTGTACCTCTATAAAATTCCAATAAAACCTTATTACTCAAGTATTTTAGTAAAATTTCATAGTACGTATAAAATGAATATGAACACACACAACTTAATTAGTCAAATTATGATGCCACAATGCTTTAACAAAAATATTCTACATTTATACATTCCTACAAATTACAATTATACATATTTTTATAACAACTTTTTATAACAAAAAACTTAATTTTTTCAAAATATTACATTTTACAAATCAAAATGAATAAAAAAATGAATAAATATTTAATTATATATTAAAATATATATTATTATTTATTTTTTAAAAAAATATTTTTTATTATTTTTTTAAAAAAATATTTTTTATTATTTTTTTAAAAAAATATTTTTTATTATTTTTTATTTATTTATATGCAAAAATAGTTAAATGTATATATATATATATATATATATGTATTTATACATATGAAGTTGAATATAATTTTTTTTTTTTTTATTTAAGAGCAAGAAATAAAATTCCTACAATTTAATTTTTGTACATCAATTCTTGTTGTAGTTGATAATACTCCTATAATTCCAATAAAACTTTATTGCTTAAGAATTTTGTTTACAACGAAGATATAATATGAAATGTAATATACTAAATGTAATATAAAAACTATGAAAATTGTAAAAACTATAAATATAACTATAAAGATAAAAACTATAAAAAATTAACTATTTTTGAAAAATTCTTTAAAATAAAAATTAAATAAAATAATAGTAATAAATAATGATAAATAACCAATAAAATTTTAATAATAAAATAATAATAATAATAAATGAAATTTTTATCTTAAAAATAAATATTATAAATATTATAAATTATAAAAATATTATCTTAAATTATAAAATATTAAAAGTCCAGTTTTATGCACACAGCTTCAGTCCAATCCACATTTCACCAGTCCAACAACAAATCCAAACATAAAAAAAAAAAAAAAAAAAAAAAAAAAAACATAATAAAACAAAGAACAAACAAACAGACAAACTCAAAAAGCGAAACAGAAACACAAAAACAAAGCACTATATTATAAAAACAAAAAATTCAATGCAACATTAGTATCGAAAGAGTTACGAAACAAAATTTTCATTCCACATTCATGCAACATCTAGAACAAAATCCTACAGACAATCCAGTTTCACACACACACATACAACCCAACAATATTTTTTTTTGAAAATAAAAAAAATTAAAAATCCAGTTTTATGCACACAACTTCAGTCCAACCCACATTTCACCAGTCCAACTACAAATTCAAACATCAAATCAAAAAAAGGAAAAAAACAAAACAAAACAAAGAACAAACAAACAAACAGACAAACTCAAAAAGCTAAACAGAAACACAAATTTTTCAATATTTCAGCAATACACACCGCAATATATCACGGCAATATCATAAAATCATAAAATATCATAAAATTAGAACTCCAGTCTCCTCGAAGAAACTTCCACCACACAATTGGAGTAAATGAATACATCCGTAACAACAGCAATTTATAAGTACAAAAGTTGCTTCGAGCAGCAAGATCGTAAGTCCATGCTGCTGCTTCTTCCTTAATGGGACAACAAAGAAAATTCCCAAAAGCAGGATCCACAATGAACCCGTGTTGTTAATCCACGATGAAATTCTTCTGAAATTCTGATTGCAAAGCACAATGATAATAATTCGTAATTCATAAATTTGACAAAATACCAATGTTTGAAATACACAGAACACATTGCTCTTACTCGAAACTCAAAACTTAAACACATGCTGAGTCGTCCCCGATGTATTTGCCTTTCCAGTGTCTATAGTAAGAAAAGCATAAATGTGAGGAGGAGAAAATCAATGTGAAACACCATGAAAAACACCCTGTAAAACTCCCCGATCAACTGTAAAACGGGTTGTGAAAACAGTTTTGATGAAAACAAAGGCACATCCATGTGGAGAAGGAGAGCCACCACTTGTCTCCTTGAGCAATCTTAATATATAGACAGTATGTGTGTTTCAAAAGTATAACATGTGTAGCTAGAAAGTATGTTAAAATTGGAGATATTGATTAAAAGTGACTTGATTATTTGACATAAAATTGAAGTTTAATAATATTTGATTTGATAGTTAATAACACTGGCATGCTTGGTCATTGGAAGAAATTTTATTTGCTTTTGTAGGTCCAAAGATATTTCTTTCATGGCCCTATCTCCCCACTTTAATTTTGATGTCATATCTTTTTGCTTTCTACTTCTTCTTGCCACCTCATCTACATTACCTATTTTAATTGCCTCCCTTTTTTTGTTTCTTCTTTTTATCCAATCATAATTTTAAGTGCCTCCATGTTCTTGTTTCTTTATCTTGCCTCTTCTTTTGTTCTTAATGCCTCTCCTTTGACAATGCTTTTATTGTTCCAAATTTTTCCATATATTTGATTTTAATTAATTCTACTTTTTGATCATTTAATTTATTAAGTGTACCTTTGAAGCTGGAAAGCAAAAAACCTACATCTTTCCACCATAGTGTAAAGTGTGTTTACTTTCAAATTGTGTCAAAAATAATAGCATCTATTAATGGATTATATTCATACAATTCAAATTTAGACTTACAAATATTTTATGTTAAATTTTAGATTCATAGATTGTTGTAAATAACACTTGAATTTTCTACAATAAAAAGAAGTAGAAAGATAAAAATCAAGAGATGACATAACATTAGAATAATAAATATTGAACATTAGATTATTTAATGATATAATTTATTAGACCAAAAAATAAATAAATAAACAAATAAAATCTTCATTTGACTCTGCATTTGATAACAAGGGTTCAAATGAAATGTGAAGATTGTGTATTTTATTTTTAATATGGGCTCAAAATTTCTTGCATGGGTTTTGTAATGGTACAACAAGCTATTTTTTTCATTGCATTTCACCATCATGTTCGAATTGGGGAACCCATGGGGAATCAATTGAATTATCAAAACTTCAACAAATCATATCTTATTGTGTTTGCACTGACCTAAACAGATACATGAACAGTATTACTAACTAAAATCTGCTGGCCGCGTAAGCCATTGCAGAAGTCTTTCGCCCTCATAACTTTCTTTCCTGGTGGCTGCAGCTCTAGTATTTCTAGAGTCGTGTTGTCTCCACAGGGAACCACCAGGGCGTCACCGATCAGTTTCACGAGTCCATCTGAGTTTTCCACAGAACCACCTACCCTAGTGGTTATAATTTTGAGTTCTAACGTTTTAATCTGTCCATCTGAACTCCGTGTTTGAAACTTGCACTTCGCTCCAGGCCATTCTGCAAATGCACGCACCTGAATCACAACCATATCACAGCTGAGTTAGATATAAACCTATGTGATGACTTCCAAATTCTACATTACACCAGGACTGTACATGGTGTGGACGAATCATGCCAAATCGCAAATTGCTTAGAAAGCAAACCTTGTTGTGGCATGTAACTGCAGTTTCTTGAAATGACAGCCACGATTCTTCTACTGTAACCTGTAAAATACATCATGATATTGTCAAGTTGATCATTGTGATAATAGTACCAAAAAATAATTAAATGGCTACAGAACTTCGGATCCCATGGCAAGGCATTTACTTTGGCTGCATGAGTTGCAAGAGAATCATCCTGTGGTGTGGCGTTAAGCTTGGCAGATCCATCAAGAATAGCTGGTAACTCTCTTAAAAGCAGCTCCGTGCCTGTTATGAAACGGACCTTAGAAGTGTCATCCACAGAAACGACGAACTCTTCTCAATACAAGTCTCGTGGTTTGTGAGATACCCTTTAATATATCGATGGCGACTACACGATCCTAATAAATTCCAGAAGCCATAGGGTGGAAGAACGCTCACATAAACGTACCTCTTCCAAACAAATATGATAACAGCTCTGGTGCCTAGACAGACTCAGGCAAGTATAATCAGTAAAACTTTATATTCCAGAGAACTTATTACAGAATATCAAGGTTTCCCCCAGTAGAGATTTGAGTGTGACTTCAAGCCACACTCAATAACATCACCTATTTAGAATCACTATTCTAAACATGCTCTGCTCGAGTAGGGAATATATATTAGCTGCTGGAGTACAGGAATGAGAAATCAAGAATATTTTACCTTAATATTGGGGTCGACATTCACACGTTCTGATGCAATTATTGGACCGGCATCCATGGCACGAACTGTGTACGCAACAGTTACACCAGTTACGTCCACACCATCCTGGAATAACGCCCCTCACCATGTCAGACTTGTATGTACATAAAAAAGGGCATCCAACACCATGAAATATTGGCATTATAGTGTTGATCCACGTATTATTGTACAAAAAGCTAAAAGCTGTTTCATGAAACTTCTCCAATCAAGAAGAGAAAGGCAAAAGAAATAGCTGTATGCAAATTAAATGACTAGTAACATGAGATAGGAGGTTCGGAAAAACTCACATATAGAGCCCTTTGCACGGGCGCTGCTCCTCGGTACAAAGGAAGCAAACTAGGGTGAACATTCACTGTGCCTGTACGTAAATCGACGCCACATTAGGATAAAGTGACCATCATTAAAACGTACTGAAAAAAACTCCCAATTGGGAACAGCATGTTGCTCAATTAGAGAAAGGAGAAGAAGACGAGGAAGTGGCTCGGCTTTTTACGAGAATTTCATAAAGACAAGTGCAATACACATCAAACTCGGTAGCAGAATCTCTGTTGTGAACAAGAACAGCATACCGCATGTTGGGATGGCAAGGAATTTAGAGGGAAGGTAATTGCCATATGCTGCAGTCACGCAGAGATCTGGCCTAAGTGCTACCAAATCTTTCAAAAACCCTTCCTGCATGAATGAACAACTATGACTTGGTTTCAGTTCTAAAAGCAACTGTCTTGTTCATCCAAGTCAATTCACGGGGTAGCTTCTTATTTCCTCAAGGTTCCAAGGTTTGTGTAACAAAATGTAGCAGGCCCGAATTGAGAAAACAGTGTCTCACCTCTGAGGCTTTCTCAGGAGACCAAATAAGAGAAGCTGGAAACTCGCGTTCAAGAGCTCGAGCTGCAACAGGAGACGGAAGCTGCTTCCTTCCTCGGCCCCGGGCAGCCGGTGGCTGAGTCACAATGGCTGCAACCTACTGAAGATCCCTCTTAGCACATAATGCAACACATGATCTAACATGTTCGACAGGGTGGAACAAAATTGCTGGTGAACCAACCCTGCTTATTCCAAAAGATTGAAGAATGCAGGATGCTTCTCAAGGAAATTCCAATATCAATTACGAACCGGAGTTCGAACCAGTCCATAACCGAGCTCACTTTGATGAAAATCGACACAGAATTTCCATCAATGAAGCGAAAAAACATTTCTCAACTCCGAAATACTGCAATGCTCAATCATTCCAAAAGCCCATGGCAGGTTTTCCTATGAAATCAACCTCGAACAAAGAATCGTCAGCTCGTGAAGAATCCAGCAATGCGTCCAATACGCCCGCAGCCACCTGAAGCAAACACAAACAAAAGTCAATCCACCAGCGTTATTCGACCACTCCAGAAACTTCCAATGCAGAAAGAAACGCCCTCCTGACCAAATTCGGCGAGGAACCCGCAAAATTGAAGTCCTCGAATTCCCAATATTCAACACATTGCAATGACCCAATACTAACCCAAGAATAAAAACCCAAATCCACTGGAAATACACAGAAAGAGGAAAATCCACTCACACTGGGAGTGCCGAGGAAGACGACCTTCTGCTTGGAATCGCTATCAGAGCCTGAACTACATCTTACGACCAGACGTTCCCCCAAAGCTGGAGAAAAAGAACTGAAGCGAGGTAGACCATACGAGGATGCACAGAATTGGCGAAACATCACGGGAGCTTGAACCATTGCCATGGCGTTAGAATCACAACCTCGAGAATTCGGAGGCAACCATCCCGAAGACACACTATAGTGATGCAAAGAGATTAATGATCCTCATCCAAACAGTTCATCCACCGTTGTAGTGGGGGGGGGGGATTGAAGCCCTAATGGAGGCTGTCAGACGGGTTGAATCAGCGGGAAAATCGAGGATACCTGGTCGTGACTTTCTTCTCCTGTAGTCGCAAACGCTTCGGAAGACGCAAAACCATGGATACCCAATTACCAAGGCAGCTCCTCTGTACCTCCTGGGGCGGAGTTGTTTTTTTGCTAATCCACCTCACCGCGTTGGTGTATCTTCCTGCCCAACTCCACATTATTCGTCTTGAGGCGTCAAGGATGCCCTAATACTTGCTGTTAACTGCGCCAAGTGCTTCTACCCTAACATTTTTCTTTTCCTTCTCCTTTTCCCTGCTCGTCTGACTCCCTCAATGTATTTGTAGATGTCAATTTCAAGTTGTCACCCAATTCGTTTACTGGCCGTTACCGATCGTCTGCGTCGATTGAAAACTGGGTTTCTGCGTTGTACAGTGTCCGGTATCGGAACGGTGCCGCTTCTCCAGTTTGTTTCCAGTACTAACCGCAGATGCTCGCTGAGATTTTATTATTCTTTTCTCTACTGTGCAATATTTCTTCATAAATTTGTATTATGACTTCTTGTGAATGGAGTAGGTTGGCACCTGAAATCTCCTTTTATTGAATTTCATCAAATTAATGTCAACAGACGTTTGCGGAACCTGTGCCGGTCGTTACCTCATTGCACAGGCACCGAATATTGCAATGCTGCAGAATCCATGTGAGCTACAAAAAAAACTATAAAACTAAATCTGAAACACACTAGGAATGACATTTATACAGGTCCTGAAGCAAACATATCGAATAGTTTTGCCTACAGCTTCAGATATAACGTAAATTCTGAACTCTGGATGGACATCGTCAGAGGGTGCATCTTATTACAAGGAGTACACATGGGATGGCAGACGAGGTGTAGCGTGAGCTTTCAATGGCACAGCCTTGGAAAGTGATGCCGCCCCAAGCCCCTCCATTAATTCATGGTCCTTGGGTGCAATCCAAGTGAAAGCGTGTAATAGGGTTGCGACGGCGGTTTGCACCATGAGTGAAGCCACTGGCATTCCTGCACAGATTCGACGTCCGGAGCCGAAGGGCAAGAGCTCGAAGTTTTGGCCCTGGTAGTCGAGACCGACGTTGCTGCCTCCGGGAAGGAATCTGTCAGGGTTGAATGTATTGGGGTCGGGGTAGATGCTTTCAAGTCGTCCCAATCCATAGACGTTGACGAAGACGCTTGTTCCGGATTTGATGTCATATCCGAAAGCTTTGCAGCTCTTGATACATTGGTGGGCAAGAAAAGGGACCGGGGGGTGAAGGCGGAGAGACTCTTTAGCAATTGCTTTGATGTAAGGTAGGTTGGGAAGATCAGATTCCTTCACCATGCGATCCCGCCCAACTACAGCATCGAGCTCTGCTTGCGCTTTCTTCATTGTGTGGGGTGCGTTCACGAGCTCTGCCATGGCCCATTCGGAGGAGGCTATGTTCGTCTCCATTCCCGCGGCGAAGATTTCCTGGTTTGCACAAGCATTCGGATCATGCACGCGGTTAGATGTCAGGATTGTAACTTGAACTAGGGGTCTACGTATTCCTGCTGTAAGGACGTCACTCACAACGTGAGCAAGCGAATAAAACAGTGGCTTACCCAGATCATGGTTTTCACAACATTCAAATCAATTTCTTTTTGCTGGTCAGCTTCATCGAGTAGCGCATCTAGGTAGTCCTTCTCTCGTAACTCTTTGGGGGCGCGGCTAGACTTGCGTTCCTCAAGACGCTCTTGAATGATCTTCTCGACGAAAGAATCCATGCGGTTTCGGAATTGCTTGAATTTGCATCCGATTCCTGCCAAATCGAACCTCTTGACAGCGGGAATGAAGTCCCCAGGATTGAACGTGCCGATGATGCGGTCTAAATCTGCTGTAATTTTCATGAGGTCTTTCAGTTTCTCCGTGCTATCAGTGGTAGTGTCTTCAATGCTTGATGGCTGTAGCAACCTTCTGCTCATCACCAATTGTGAGAAAATGTTCCCGGCCAACACTTCTAAGTGAAACTTCACGTTCACCGTGGTGTCATGTGGAATTGTGCGCAACATATGGGCAAATTCGTTCGCTCGAAGCTGTTGCGTGGCTTCCATTTTCTTTGAAGTTGTGAACTGCTGCTGGAAAATCTTTCGAAGGAGTTTCGAATGGGATGTAACGTCTGAGAATGTAAGATCTGCAACTCGAGATGTATTTGAGATTATTTTAGAAACTCAAACCATGGTGTTGAAATTGCCTCCAACCTGATAAGAAACAGCACTCAACTAAAACAACCATGCCACATCAACAACGGCAAACCTTACCATGTGGCAAAAGAACTGAGGGAGCTTGCTGTTTCGGTCTCGAGCAGAAATTGGCGTCCTGCGTCTTCACAAATTCCAAAGCCGTTTCCGGGGATGTGGCGAAGATTATTAATCTTTGTCCAAACCACACCGACATCAGGGATCCATATTTCTCAGCGAGTTTCGCCAGACTTCGGTGGGGATAAGGGCCAATTAGATGCAAAGAGCCAATAATGGGCCATGCGAATGGACCAGGCGGTATGTTCTTTGGTGTGGTGATGAATCTCGCTAGCAGGAAGATGGCGACAACAGCAATGGCAGAACCCTGCACAGCTTCCACATGAGTTAAGTCTTCTCAACAGACTTCAGACCTCATGACTTTCGACACCATTTATATGCATTCTCATCGCCGATGGTAAGCGAAGAAACGTGAACTAGATTGGGGTCTCCTTCCAAACAACACCGGACAATGAGCCGATGTGCAGTCTCATGCACGTCCTCAATTCTTAGAACTCCAGAGAGAGACATTGCGATTGCGTAGGGAAAGTGATGATTACTCGGTTCAGTAAGGTCACATACATAGAGCACTTCTACTATGGAACCCATGTTGCAGCAGCAGCTGATCTCTGAACACCAGGAAACTTTCGAAGAGGTCGTGAAGTTGCCGAGTGGCTAGAGAAGCGAGAGTATGATTCTGTCACGGAGGAGGAAGTTGATTACTGTGGGGCTGCATCAGTGAGGTTTTATGGACTCGTGTCAACGGCAGGGACGTATCCTATGGACCTGACGGTCCAAGTAGCTAAGACCTGTGGACTGTCTTCCGCGAACTTATGTTTTTGTGCTGCTTTCAGTATCTTTTGCTCAACTGCTATTCTGGGGAGGGGGGGGGGGGGGGGGGAGGTTAGATTCAGACTTGTCGAGTCATTGCCTTTATGAAAAGGATGTGATATTTTGAAAGATAGAAAGAAGTAAAACATGGTCCGTGGACCGAGCTTTTTAAGGACCTGAGCTTCGTCAGTTCCGGCACTAAAAACACTTAGACCTGAGACATGAAGGTTCATTGACACGCAGTAGATGGCATCTGCATGTTCAATGTGCTTTAGAAAAACAGCGGTAAGTTGAGAGTGTCACGCAACAGCCAACGGGATTTCACCTCCAGATTGTGATGAGATGGCGAGTAATGAAAAGTGGGACGCAATGGCGATCGAAACAGGATGCATGAAACTGGAATGTTGCTTTGGTCGCTGCTGTGCAGGTGAATGGGGTGCTGTAACTGCAGTTGAGACATTAACTACATGTTTGTTATGGCTCATGATGCTTTCGTGGACTAGTCCATATTAGAATGGGCAATCCTGAACCAGAAATAGTCTTGATAAGAAACCACCCTGCTAGTGTCTCAGAGGACAACAAATTGCAGGAGTGAGCTTGGCTTTTGATGCATAAACTTGGCGGTTTCCTGTGAGGGTCAAAGCTCTCAACTGATCAGTGTTGCAATTGTCGGTTGACGATTCCCTACAGACACCATGTCACATTGTTCTATTGTTTGCATAATCAGAGTGAATTTCTACCGAGTGTTAATTTGTGGGCTTTTCTACGCAGTACTGTATTTACTTTCATTTAATGTATAGAGGCGACATCTCTGCGAAGGAGAAGGTGCTGCTTTACCCTCCAGCGCATCAAGAAGACGACAAAAGCTCATGAGTGATCTCCATGTGTCTTTGCAGCTTTCTCAAGCCGAAAATGGGTCCACTCGCTCCAGCCACACCTATCACTGGATCGCAATATACCTGAAGCAAGAGTCTCTTCGATCATTATCCTCAGCTGTTGTTGGACTTATTGCAATTCCATATGTCTTTACACTACTTTTGTTTTAGAATCTCAACGTCGGCTGCGTTTGCTACTTTGCAATCGGTCAAACTTGGGGTCTCTGGTCTTAAACTGAAGCGGCTTTTTCAAAAACTCATGTATCTTGCGGTAAGAGCATGCACTCAAAAAATGGCACGAATGATCAAAATTGGGGGATTCAGAGCCCTAGATCATGTCATAGCTCAGATTTTCTTCAGGCCAATATGAACTCTCCAAGTGACTGGTTGTGAGCCTTCAGATTTTTATAGCAGTTGCTGAATCAAGATTAACAGAAACCCATCTTCTGATCTTGGTAACGCTTCACCAATTCAAGCTAATTGTGCTTTTATTCCTATCAATTAAGTCGAAGTCTCCTATTGATACTACTTCTCAAAGCAGGATCATCCGAAGAAACACCAATGACATGAAATTATTAAAGGTGAGCTGTTCGTTAGACATGCACTAGAAGCCTAAACTGTGACTGGAACTAGCGGACTCAGGATCATGACACTTGCAACGGGTGGGGTCAAAGTTTGCAAGTGCCGTTTCTCACTCCACTGCCACAAAAAAGTGGTTTCAAAATTCTATCTTCGTACTGAAGTTCATCTCCTTCTTCGGCCACAATTGGTGGTCCCTTTTTCTATTTTTTGGTACTGAACTTAGTTGGATCCTCAGTTTGACGAGTCACCATTAAATAAACTCCACCCAAGAATTTTGTAGTTTGAATAGAGCATGTGGTGTTGTGGCTATTAAATTTCAATCCACGTAGGAAAGAGTCGCGTGTTTCTGTGTGTGTGTGCAAGTAATGGTTGTGTTGACATACATGCAAGAGACTCCCAACAACAGGTCTCGTCCCTACTGTTACATTTTTAACAGCGATTTTGTGGTCTGTAATTTGGAATTGATGTTCCGAATCCTGCACTTTAACATGATTGCTACTCCTTGAAGAGAAATCCAAAAACCTGTTAGTAGTCAAACTCGCTCTGCTTTTGTCACTGGGTTTATCTTGTGATGTTACAATCATCAGGCTTGTGCCGTTATGGCCCGTCAACGGTCCGGATGGTAACAGGGCTGGTCAATATTGCAATTGGGTGTTGGGTAATGTCTGAGAGAGGTTCAGATTTTCATTTACTATAAGAAAATAAATAAAAACAAATAAAATAAAATAAAATAATACTTCAATAGTATGCTTCATTAGTATTCATGAATAGGGCAGAGGTTTTTCTTTTAGGAATGTTCTATGCTTGAGTATTTTTCATGCTCATTCATAAAAAATATATATATATCTATATACATATATATATATATATATATATATAGATATATAGATATAACAAAGAAAAGATTCTTAAGACATGGAAAGTATCAATACATGGAAAAGTAAAGGGGGTACATGTGTAATTTTTTAATGATGCAAAAAAATCTAACAATCCAACATCAACTAATTCTTAAGTTGCTGTATTTATTGGTTTTATTTTTTGCACTATTATATTTTTACATGTCATCATGATATTGCACTCGAATTTTGCATTTTTCCAAGTTGAACATTGTTAAGTGTCAAACTACAATAAAATTTAATTAAAAATTATATAAGGAAACAAAAGATAAAAGTATAATAATAAGAGTAAACGACTTATTCTAACACTTTAATAATTCAAACCAATACAATCCTACAATTTATATATTTTTTTGAAATAAGATGTTAAAATGCATCTATATTGATCTTTTGATAATTTATATGTCAAAGACACTAACACAAAAATACATTTAAAATAAAAAAGTTTTAATTTATTTAAGATATATTAATTTTTAATAATAATTAAAATAAACCTATTTGGTAGTTAAGATGATAGTTAAATTAACATAAATATTGTATTTGATGTCCTTAATTCATTATTTTTATATAATTTCTAAAACTCTGGTATAGAAATAAATAATAAATACTAATAAAGATAGAAAACTTTATTAACTGTAATCATCTTGTTCATGTTTTTAATATGTATACGTACATATATAGATATATAATTTATTTTTAAAAATTGCAAAATTACAATATATAATTGATAGTATCATTATAAATTTTTTTAATTACAATTATAATATTTAAAAAATTATATATTTCCATAAATTAATTTTTTTCAAATGATTAAATCTACATTAATTTAATCCGTGTCTTTAGTTACTTGTCAGTTTGAATTCTAAAACTTTCCAAAAATTACATTTATATTAGAATCAATAGAATTATTTAAATTTTTTTAAGAATAATAATTATTATAAAAAATAAAAATAAAAAAAATTAAATTTTTTAATGTAAAAACATTCTAAATATATATATTTTTAAAACTTTCACAATACATATTATATACATAATTAAACTTAATCATACTTATAAGTAATTCAATAATTTTAATCTCTAACCTATTATAAAGGTTAATAGGATTATATATATATATATATATATATATATATATATATATGATATTTAATTTTTTTTCAAAAAATAGCATAATTTTATTTTTTGCACTACATAACAATATTATACTTGAATTGGTATAATTTTTTAAATATTTTTGATAGATATTAATCTATTTAATATTAAATTATTTTATTAAAGTCAAATATCTGTTTTATGCTAATTTAAGGTAATAAATCAGTATTACTTGGATTTTTTTTCATTTATAACTAAACTTTTATTTCTTATATTATAAATTTTATTTCTTATTTTATAAATTCGTATATTAATATTTTATGATGAAGATTGGCATTTAAATAAAATTTAATTTTTGTTAATAATTATATAGAATAAGTATTAAACATCAAAGAAAGAATAATTTATTTACTAATTTAACTTGTATTACAGTGTATTAATAATTTAAAATAAAATTCTATAATTATTTAGTTTAAAAAAAATCTATTATGTGTATTTTATTATACCTGTTATTTATTTATTTATTTATTTATTTAGGTATTGCACTTAAGCATAGTAATTTTTTATTTTAGATATTTTTCTAATAAGGCAGATACCAATATAATAAATAAATAATATTCTTTCTATAGAAAATTAGAATATTCGTTCTCTTATCCAAAAATATGGTCTTGGTCTTGTTTATATAATGTTTTCTACAAGAAAAATTTAAATGAATTTTACAATATATTAAAATGCAGAATGTTTCATTAGAATGATAGAAAAAACAAAATTAATTTAGTCAAGAGATGAATATTTTTGGTGATGTTGTTGATGTTAGTATTTCTTTCTTTCTTTCTTTTTTTTTTTAATTTGATGAAAAAAGATAAAATTAGAATAATAATATTAGAGTTCTAAAATATTTTATTAAAAATTTTGGTCTTTTATTTTAAAAACCTAATCACTTTTTAGGCTCAAGTGTCAAATAACTAATTTCTATACTCATTTGAGCACCATATTAATTGTAGTGTTTTCTTGATACTTGCATTTAGTCATTGCAAACACATTATTTGTTTTATAACTCAACACTCAATCTATGCTTATTTCTAAAACAATTCATACCATGGTATTTTTGTCTTACAATACCATATTTTTTAAATAAAATAATTTTTATTCAAAAATTAATTTAATATTTTTAATAATAAAAACAAATATTGGTTTAAAAAGATTTTCTTGCAACATAGTCACATGCACATTTAACCATTCTTTGTTGCATCATAGATCTATTGACATTCATTCATACTTGGATACCAACTCTCATATACATTATTGTATATAAGTAGATGCATCATTGTTTTTCTTGATTTCTACATATCATAACATTGCTTGCATAGATTGTTCTTCTCTTTATAAAACTGTATCCACAACTGTAAAAACAAATTCACCAAAATATTACTTTTGGATCAACCACTCTGTGCAACCCATACTCATTGTTACCTAAATTTGCGCCTTTTGTATATTCCGTAAATTTTCTTGTTCCAATATTCTTTAAAAAAGTTATTCATGTTGTGCAAGAATAAG